CCAGATCGGGATCGTGGGGCTGAGGCTACTCCTAGTGGCAAACAAATATCTTCCATGATTAAGCTTGAATCTGCAAGCCCAAATAGTATTGCTTCTGGCGGAGTTAGGCTGCATCACAGAGCTGTGAGTAGTGCATTTTGATTAATAAGGAAAATATATACTGTCAAGTTTTCATTATATATTCAAGTCCAATTTTTTCTGAAATTTTTCCCAGGTGGTTATTGCCGCAGAGACTGGTGGTGCATTAGGTGGCATGGTTAGGCAGCTTTCGATTGATCAGTTTGAAAATGAAGGTAGACGGGTCAGTTATGGGACTCCAGAAAGTGCAACTGCTGCTAGAAAGTTATTAGATCGCCAGATGTCTATCAATAGTGTCCCAAAGAAGGTATATTGTCTATAACTAGTTATTATTGAGCGCGGAGGATGCATGTAACTGATGGTGGGAAATGTTTTCAATTAGCTGTACCATTTTTGATACTGATTTCTATATTGTCACTTCGTTAAGTTTTTCAACCTCTCTAATAGTGTTTATCAAGGTCAAACTCAACTAGATATGTGAAAACAATGATTGGATGAAAAAAATTAAACTCTATCAGGAAAGTTATATACTTTTCATTTAATAGTTCAACAATGGATCAGATGCATTATTCTTATTGCTTTAAAACAACACAAATTATTTAATATCGACATTTTTTGCAATGGGTCAGGTGCAGAACATCTGATAAGTTATGTTCATTAACCTTCCTTATGTTGTCATTGTACTCCATCACATCCTTTCTGTTGATGATGGGTATAACCCGAGTGTCTTCTATTGAATCTTTTCCCATCCCATGTTGGGTTTTTCATGCCTATTTTGTTGAACCACTCCTCATAAATTTTTTATTGAACTCATCAAGCTTGGCTTCATTTTATGTTCAGCTTTGTTTCTTATTAAGTTTCTTGACCTTCTATGTAGGTCATAGCACACCTCTTAAAGCCCCGTGGCTGGAAACCACCAGTTCGACGGCAGTTTTTCTTGGATTGCAATGAAATTGCAGATCTTTGTGATAGTGCAGAGAGGATATTTTCTAGCGAACCAACTGTCATACAACTTAAGGCACCAATTAAAATATTTGGTGATTTACATGGGCAGTTTGGGGATCTCATGCGCCTTTTTGATGAGTATGGTTCACCATCAACTGCCGGTGACATAGCGTAAGTTCCTTAGTTCCCATGGATGGATTTATAATTTTATGTGAGTAATGGATAGTTTTATATTTGAGAAATGGGTAGTTACTCATGGATGGATTGTTACCCCTTTCTGTCTGAACATCTGTGGAGTCCCACTCTAGATTGAGATTACTGCATTAGTCTTAGAATTTCGGTTAATAACTCACCCTCAAAAGCTAGCTAATGAAGTGGGGACCGATCAAGCCTTTGTAAGAACTACTAAGCACATATCTCTACTAGATGCGAGATCTCAACCCACCTCTTCATGACCCAGACCGAATATCTAGAGTGTTAGTATTTGTGTAATGGGCTCTTGCCCAGTAGTTAGTCTGGCCAAGCCAAGTCAGCCCACTGCAGTGCATGCTTGCGGTGTAAATCAGCAATGAATTCCAGTCCTTCAGTTAGCTGCTTAGTCAGCATTAGTTTGTTAGTGCTCTTAGAAATGCTAATAAATTCTAAAATCAACTGGAAGATCTTGCCTATATCAATACTTCTACTGTGTAATAGTTCAGTAATCGAATTATCAAACTCACTATCGAAGTTTCTCAATTTGTTTCTACTTTCTCTTTTTTTCATTTTGACTCTGTTTCTGAATATGGAGCATGAACAAATATGATTGGCCCAATAACAGTTCAAGGATAGGCTTCAATATCATCTTACAATTTGGCTTAGGCGTAACTCAAAAAGATCTTAGAATTTGGGATTGGCCTAACTCCATCCCAAAACATCTTAGAGTTAGGGCCTGGAAAGCTAGCTCAAAAGGAAAGGATTGCCCAAGCCTCTAAACAGAGTACTTTTACCATATCTCTAGTAAATGTGGGATCTCCCCAATTAGATTTTGTACACTTGATGCATTGTTATAAGCTTATCTTTTAGCATCAGTTCTCGTGGTTTGTTATCCAGCATACATTTTGTAGATGTCTTTCAAGATCTATATTTATGGCACTTTTTCTAGGATTGATTAACCTTTATACCTGATCTAAATGATTCTTGTCGTTGCATTGCAAATCTATCAGGTATCACTTGCTATCAACAATATGCATAATACATTTATTCCATCATGGAATAATAATATGATATAAATCCATTGCTTTTATAGATTTGTTTATTTTCCGGTTTACATTGTGCTTTGATTTGGAACTTCAGTGACAGTGCATTGGATTGTGTAGCTTACTAGTTACTAGACTATATAGTTTGTTAGATTTAGTGCATACAACAGAAAGACCTTTCACATGTTGATCTGATAGTCAATAGTTATAATACAACAAGGATGACACATTTTTCTTCCCTCATAGCTAGCATGTGCATAATGGTAACAGTTTAGGCATCCAATTTTCTCATGCTAATTTTATGTTAATGACAACCAGATATATCGATTATCTATTCCTAGGAGATTATGTTGATAGGGGCCAACACAGCCTGGAAACTATAAGCCTTCTGCTTGCTTTGAAGGTACTACGAGTTTATAGGTTGTTTCTTTATATTGCTTATCAAGTTTGATGGTGTCAGTTTGATGTACGATAATGTGAAATTTGCAGGTTGAGTATCCAAACAATGTTCACTTAATACGTGGAAATCATGAAGCTGCAGATATTAATGCCCTTTTTGGTTTTCGAATTGAGTGCATTGAGAGGATGGTATGAAATTTCATACAATGGAAAACATTTTATATTACTTTTTGGGTACTTAAGCAACATCATAATTTTCTGCTTAGGGTGAGAGAGATGGAATTTGGACATGGCACCGAATAAACCGTCTGTTTAACTGGCTTCCTCTTGCGGCTCTAATTGAGAAAAAAATCATTTGCATGCACGGGGGTATTGGCCGTTCAATAAATCACTTGGAACAAATTGAGAATATTCAGCGTCCTATTACAATGGAAGCAGGATCTATTGTGCTGATGGATCTTTTGTGGTTAGTACATTGCTATGTTTTTATGTTCTTATATGTTGATGACAATTTACTTTCACGACCTTTTGAAGAATGATACCATGAAATGGTTCTATAGGTCTGATCCTACAGAGAATGACAGCGTGGAAGGTCTACGACCAAATGCTAGAGGTCCAGGGTTAGTTACTTTTGGGGTGAGTGATTTTTTACTTGCTTATTTTGGGAAATGGTTAATATTTTGTGTATTAGTTGCCTTTTGCCTGGATAATGATATAAATAGATGCTACATATTTGATGATAGGTATATTAATGCTATTGCTGATTAATCCAATTTATTTGATTGAATTTGATGAACTATGAGCTCACGTATTAATTGTTTTATCATTCTAGAAATCTTATTAATTAATATACATACTGAGTTTTGAAGCTTCGTTTGCCACTTAAAAATCAGTGTACACTGATTTTTAGTCTTAACAAATGCTATAACATTTTAGGGGGTCGGTGCTACGTAATGCTATTCGAGATTAACAACCTAGATATGGAGGCATGAAAGAAAACAAAGCTGATTATTTCCATCTATTAGTACTCCCTCTGGTCACTATTATAAACGAATTTTCCTTTTTTCAGCTTCGTTGAATAATTGATTTATGTTGTCTATAGTTATTCAATGAATCTGAGAATGAAATATTTGCTTATAATAGTGACCAGAGAGTAGATGTTAAGAGTCCCGCATTAGAAACTTAAGATTTGAAAAAGGGTTTATAAGTGGGAGGCATCCCTCACTTTACAAGCTGATTTTGTAGAAGTAGTTAGTTCCAAATTCTAAGATGGTATTAGTATCAGAGCGTTGGACCACCTGCAACTGGGTCTCTTTCTATCTTGGGGGCCACACATGTGTTAAGGGTCCCACATTGGATGAGATAAAACATGAAAATAAGTTTATAAGTAGTAAGACATTTCCCAATCTCAAGTCTGTTTTATTGGGGTTGAGTTAGGCCAAATCCCAATTATAAGAATATTATATCTTCAAGGAGCTGTACTGCATTTGTGACTTGTGACTCATGTATTCCCCTCTCATTTACTGCTGCTATAGTCAATGCCATCACTTCATATCCTCTAATTTGAAGTTTCCCTTTTATGATGCATGTAAATTTGGTTGTTAGTTACAGGCGCCTTGCTAGATATTGTTTGTACACTTTCTTTAATATCTAAATTAGTGCTATATCAAGAGGTTCAATTTAAGTATAATGTCATGGTATAATGCCCTTTTAATTTGTAAATGGTGTTTTCTGTTGCAGCCTGACCGTGTCATGGAATTTTGCAATAACAATGATCTTCAGCTGATTGTTCGAGCACATGAATGTGTGATGGATGGCTTTGAGCGTTTTGCACAGGGACATTTAATCACCCTTTTCTCAGCTACAAATTACTGTGGTATTTGTTCATGGCTTGTATGTTGTAGGCTTGCACCTCTCATTTTTCCTATTAAATTTTGGCTCTTGTGGTTATAGGTACCGCAAATAATGCTGGAGCAATATTAGTTTTGGGGAGGGATCTTGTGGTGGTTCCTAAACTGATTCATCCATTACCACCGGCACTTTCTTCACCAGAAACATCACCTGAACGTCAGATTGAAGATACTTGGATGCAGGTACTCCAAATATTTTGCAGTGGGCACCCTCTTTGCGCTGCTTAAATTTGCTCCTATTAATTATACGTAGGCACATCTAAGTAACTTTTGAACTTTCTTTCAGCCCTTTATTTAATATAAATATATTTTTTTTGGGGTATGTACAGGAGTTGAATGCAAACAGACCACCAACTCCAACTAGAGGTCGTCCTCCAGGACCAAATGACCGTGGTTCGCTGGCTTGGATATAGTGATAATTAAGAAACCTCTAATGTTTATGCTGTAAGAGGTTGTGCTATCGCCTGAATTTCGGTGTTATGTACATAGCATGATGCCATTTATGAGTATGCGAGTTTCTGATCTTTAATACTGTGGAAAGGTTGAATATATTCACAGTCCTGGTTCTCACCAGTCTACTCAGCATCCCTTTAGAAGATATACACACACGTTTGAGAAGCAAGGTCGGTACCTGCTGCTAGGTTCACTACTCATACAAAGCTAGAAGTTGCAGTCGGGGTTCCACTCACCCATTGTAAATTGAGCCATAAGTACAAAGTCAAGGTCATGGTTGTGTCATGGATTGTCAGTGTTGGCTATTTTTCTCATTGATTTTTAAATATTTTTTTACTCATCTCCCCATGTTATCATTCTTTTTCAAAATCGCAAGGACACCGGGGTTATAATATTTTTCTTTCTCTGTTGGTGAGATATATATGAGAAATCTTCTTGGGGTTCCGTGTATCATAGGTGTTGCTTTGTGTTATTCTCAACTATGCATGTACAATTAATGGTGTGAATTAACATACTTCGACACAGAAATGTGAATTTTGATAAAATATTAAGTATTTTTTTTCTTGTGCAGCAAAGTTTTGGAGACTGTAAGGCTTTTTCATTTATTGTATACATATATGTAAAGTACACTGATTGATAACTCTACCATGAAGAGTTAGTCAGAGTCGAAGATTAGAACGTATATCAAAAGTTTGTCTTTCTTCCTCGATGGCTACCAATGTGTATATAATCTTTGATGCTTTGAATTATTAGACTAATTGAGGGCCATTAAGATCCATGTTTCTCTTTTTCATGAAGCCAATTAATGGGAATTAAGTTCCTACTTCCCTTCCTGAGGCCGGCTGATTATGGTTATTAAAATATCTTTTATGCTATGTCTGCGTGAATGATTTCTTCATGTTGGTTCTTAGTTGACTTACTTGACTTGGCCCATTAACTTGAACTAGTTTGGTCTTGCTCTATTAGATGGCTTAAAGATTAGGGTGGACTCTAATGAGTTTGGGTTTGGATCCAACTTAACTTGTTGGATCTTTTAAGCATAAGGTTTATAAGGGCGGGGTGTTTTAAATGAGATTGCGTCCCTTAAGTATGAGCCTTGTGAGGGTGATGTGCTTTAGATGAGAGATCATAATATACTCAAAAGTCTTTAAATCATAAGGTTTGTAAGGGCAAAATATTTTAGATGAGACTGAATTGTACGGTCCCTCAATGGCGATGTGCTTTAGATCACAAATTAGATTTAGTTTTTCAAGCATGGGTTTTGTAAGGGTGAGATTGTTAGATGACCACGCCTTATATAAGGGGTGAATAAATCTTCAAGTAAAAAAACTTAGATAAAATTATGGTTTTTAAAACTAATTAAGCAAAAAGTGCATGCATAAGGTTTCTAAGAATGGTCATTTATATGAACCACGCTGTTGGAAGTGATGCAATGAAAACATGGTTGCAAACGTAAAGTCTGTCAGATAAACTTTGGAGTCCACCAGAAATAAAGAAAATTTTGAATTTTATTATATGAAAGATAACCCTTGTGACTACATCAAAAATCTTTAAATACAAGAAATAAAATAATCATAATGAGTATTTAATCCAAAACAAAATAAAAATAAAATAAATAAATATAAATTGTTTCAATATTAAAATAGAAAATTGATTAAATATTAGAATGCTTTTCGATGCACGATTCTCCTTCGATATGCACAGTTAACCCTCATACATCAGTCTCCTTTACTTCTGAAGAACTTGATTCCGAGTTCTCTTCTTGATAAAGAGCTTTATCTGGCTGCAACTTGTTGTAACTATCAACTGAAAATAACTCTTTACACAAACACCATCACATCTTTTCTCACATTGAAAACTTTAACTTCCATGTGTTTATCTCGCATAGGAGGCAAATCATTTGGTAGCTCATCTGTGGTCAACTCCTTGAAATCCTTTAGCATTCCTAACACTTCTTTTGGAATTTTGTTTTCTCTTTTATAACACTCATCGCCTCTTTAATCAGTACTGGTGTTGACAAACAATTTTCTACTAGGGAAGTAAGCCCTCAAACTGTAAGGTATCTTTGATTAGAAAGGCGTGTTTCCATAAAGAACAATGGGATGTGTCGACCAAGTCAAAGAAGTATTTAAACCGGGAAGGCTGGTCGACGAAGACACCAATTTCAGAGGTAGGTTCGACATATATAAATTTCGACAGACAATCATGTGGCGACAAGAGCAGTTATCAATTTACAATCCAACAAGAACGCGAGGATGTTTCAAAGCAGTTTAGGGCATTTTTCCATGAATCCCAACGTGGGACTAGTAACCGTCGACAGTTACATTTTTAGAATATCTATTTAAACAAACATTTGTATTTGTATTTGTATTAGAGACCACATTTCTTCATATTTAGAGTATTACACTCAAAGTACCTGCATCTAAGAGAGAAACGAGTTCAGGCTTAACAATGTATGAATACTTCTACATTTTAAATCAAAGCAATTTCCAATTTTCATTTTAAATTACAAGCCGTTATTTATTTTCTTTACTTTGCAACTGTCCTTTACTTTTGCCTTTTTATATCTATGAATCCTGTATCAATCAGTTTCAACCCAAAACACTAAGTCTAGGATTATTGTAGTCGATCCTGCAAGTAACATTTAATAAGAGGCTAGAGATTGTTCACGAGAAAAAAATTAGCACACTTGGTGTGATATGTTGTGTTTGAGCCCGTCTCGTTTTGTGTATGAAATTGAGAAGTGAGAGAAAAATGGTGGATCCTAGAATTCATGAAAGGGATTAAACCCTGTGAGGAAATACCAGTGCGGCGATGAGTATGAGTTCAAGTTTTGTAGTTGTGTCTTCGACTTCCTCGAACATAGTTACCACGACTCAACCAATAACTGTAAGACCAATGATGGTCACAACTTCTGGGTAGTATGTGTCTAGTTTTGCAAGAGACACACACAGTGGTGTGGTCCCAACCTCTGGGCAATATGTGCCTAGTTTTGCAAGAGATACACATAATGTTAAAAATGAGTACATAATGCCAACGAAAATGATGGCAGACCTACATAGTAGTAGTTCGACATCTGGTGAAAACTCTTCATCGGTGTTTTCCAGTATCACGCCTTAGGGCCGTTGGGAAATCAGTTTGATCGTTCGACTGGATTGGGATTTTCGCACCAAATGATACCTATTTTCACCCCAAGCATCGTTGCCATCATGAGGCAGCAGATGGATGAAAGTAATCATGAGATGGTCAATATGCTTACTCAATAGATGAGTGTCATATTAAGACCATTGATGAAGAATTTAGTGCAGAGTTATCAGACTTTGGCAACACAAATGACTCGCATCAGTGATTTTTTTTGGCACCTCAAGAGCGTCAGTTCGACAAGCTACATCGCCCCCAAGTGAGAAACCAGTGCCATATGAAGAGGTGGTCGATGCAATAGTCAGGCAGGAACCACCAATTCCCCAACGTGTTGATCTGACACATAGGGTGTTCCAACAATCCCCAATAGTAATAGCGAATCAAAACCAGAATGCCAATTAAGTGGTCAGGCATGTTTGAAGAGAAGTAGTGGCTGGGGAACAAAACCTAGAACGCCATTGTTAAAACGAATTATGGTGAGGAATGGAATGAAAACTAGCTATCAAAGGACTACATATGCCTCACCACAGCCAGATTTTGTTTTGAAAAAAGAGTTACCAAGGGGTTAGAAACTCCCAAAGTTCATCAAGTTCTCAGGGGGCATCAAAGAGTCCACTGTCGAACACGTTGCTAGGTACCAAACCGAACTGGGTGACTTAGTAGTGAATGAGGATTTGAGGATGAAGTATTTTCCAAATTCCCTTACAAAGAATGTGTTTACTTGGTTTACAATGCTTCCCTCACAGTCGATCCAAACGTGGATTCAATTATAGAAATTATTCCATGAACAATTTCACACGGGGCAATCCAAAATAAGCCCAACAGAACTGTCCAGTGTTAAACTAAAGAGCACTGAGTCGATAGACCAATACCTTAACATGTTTAGACTTCTGAAAGCACGATGCTTTACACAAGTTCCTGAACACGAATTGGTCGAAATGGATGCAAATGGATTAGAGTATTCTATTAGAAAGAATTGCTAGATATCCATTCCTTGAAGGACATGGCTCAGTTAGCTATCAAAGTTTGATTGGTCGAGTGTTTGAAAGATGAAAAAACCAAGCCAAATAAACACCATAAAAAAGGAAAGGTTGTTTACACAACCATTGATGAATATTTTTCTGACGAAGAAGAGTCAGGGGAAGAAATAGAGGTTAATGTGGCTGACCTCCATCCCGGACCTCCTTATGCGTGTAAGCTATTGAAACCTTCAAACGAGAAAAACCCCGTTGAAACTGAAAAGAATGGGAAAGGCATCACCAAAACTTACACTTTTGACATAACTAAATGTGATGAAATTTTTGATTTGTTAGTGGCTGATGGTTAAATTGTGGTCCCTCAGAGCCTGAAGAATCCCCCACTTGAACAAAAGAAGAAAAGGGGATTATGCAAATTTCATAGTTTTCTTGGTCATAAAACTTCTCAATGTGTTCTTTGCAGGGATTTGGTGCATAAAGCTTTGAAAGAAGGCATGCTTCAATTTGGCGAAAAGCCAAAGATGCAGGTCGACACTGATCCTTTGAAGTGGAAGAGGATTTATATTCAAAGTCTCTGAATTGTATGATGGTCGAAGCTACTGAGGGCCTCGATAAAGAAGTCATATTGATTGGTGACATAAAAGTTATGATGGTTAGAACTAATGAAAGTTTCAACATAAAGAGGGAAGAGGCATTGAGGCCAGTGTACCCCCAGCCTGAAGAGAGCTTGGCTGACTCTCAGGAAAAATGCAGAGTGAAAATATCGAGGGCCAAATTATGCCCAAGATGAAACATTGTGTATGATGAAGAAGCAACTAAGAAATATGAAGCTGTAAAAAAACAGACACTCAAGCAAAAGAAGTTGCTAGTTCTAAGGTTTGTTTTCAACCAAGAAGGAATTCCTAGATGCAACAAAGAGTACATAAGATTGTTTCAGACACCTCGTTCAAAAAACTTCCGCCCTCCTTCAGACACCACACAAGAAAAATGGGTGGAACCAGTGAGCTAAAAGGGAGGCAAAATGCCGAAGTGGAAGGTGATTGTGCATGAAACTAAGGCCAAGAAAAGAAGGTTGAGTCGAAGGGTTATCAAGTTTGTCCTCATTATAAGGGGAAAAATTCAATGACAAGGACGCAGTGGAGGCATTATCAGAGGAATAAGAAAGCTGCAAAGGATGCTTGGACTTCCCAGTCAAAACCTGTCGAAGCTACTAGGCGTGTCGAAAGCATGCAACCAACGGAAGTTGCAAAACTTGGTGGAGCTCTAGTTCAGAAAGGAATTTATCCAAGGTCAAGGTTGCCTAAAAAGGAAAAAGATCACAACCAAACAAAGGTTGGTTACAAAGGTAGCTCCTTTAGGTAATAAAGAGCTGGTGGTAACACAAAATGTTGGATATATTCCTACACCTGAGTACACTCCTACATTTGAGGGTGAAGAGGAGGAAGATCCCGATTATGAACCTTCTCCAGAAGATGATATGGTGAATGATAATTATGGTGAATACTTCATCATTAATTATGGAATTGTGTCGATTCTGCCCGCAGAATATGATAGAGTGTCAGAGGTATCAGAAAACAAAGAAGACTTCACCTTGGAAGAGGTGGATGATGAAAAGCCTCTGTGTTACTATGTTATGAATAATGGCGTTGTCGAAGAATAGAAGGATGTGTTTGAGAAACCAAGCCCATGGATGTTGTATCATCTTAGCCTTTATTTATAAGGGAAAAGGTAGATGGTATGCCGGTGAACAAAGTGTTTGTCGATGGTGGAACAACTGTGAACTTAATGCCACATGTTCTGTTCAAGAAAATGGGAAAGTGTGGGTCAGATCTTTGACCTCATAACATGGTTTTTTCCAACTATGAGGGGAAAACCAGTAGTATACTTGGGGTCATCCAGGTCGAATTGGCCGTTGGAACAACCACCAGGTCAACTTTGTTCATGGTAATAAATTCCAAAGCAAACTTCAATTTATTACTCGACCGTGAATGGATTCATGGAATAGGTGAAGTCCCATCGACTTTGCACTAGATGATTTCGATTTGGAAGAAAGATGGCATGGTGGAAAATATAAAGGCTGATCAGAGCTACTATAAGGCCGATAAGGTTAAAGGTGGAAAAAATCGTTCGACCAAGACTTGGTGAATGTGACACCTTGTGATTATGACAATTACACTCTTAACGAAAACTCAAATAATTTTCTAAGCTTGGATCCTGATCATGGTTTTATGTGGGATTCTGAAGGGGTAATAATGCTTAGGGAGTCAATTCCACCTACGGGGTGGCCTATAGTCGACAATGATGACCAGTGAGTTAGAAAGTCTAGCTCGAATTTCAGCTTATGTGGTTGAAAACAAAATGAAATCGACTTTGGAAGCTGAAAGACTGCAGAGTATAACTATCAAAGCCAAACCAGCAGATCAAGACAAAGGCCAACAAGGCCAAACAACAACTTCAGAAAGCCGGAGGTTAAATTGCATCTATGACAATGAACCTTTGGGGTTTGAAAAAGACCCATTGAATTCAGTACAAAATATGCGAGCCTAAGATCCGTTAGAAGAAGTTGATCTGGGAGACGGTGTAACAAAGAGACCAACTTACATCAGCACCAAAGCTGGGTTGAAAATGAAAGTCAACTGATCAAGCTGTTGTAAGAGTATAAAGACTGCTTCACCCAGGATTATGGTGAGATGCCTGGATCAAGTCGGAATGTGGTGGAACACCGCTTACATATTCAGCCAGGCAAGAGGCCAGTAAAGTAGCATCCTAGGAGGTTTGCTCCCGAGATCACCTTGAAGATCAAACATGAGATTGAAAGGCTGCTCAAAAGTAAGTTCATCAGAATCGTAAGATACATTGAATGGT